AGGTGCTGGTGTTAGCGCCTGGCTACAGGAGGCTGTCTCCTGGCGGCACGACTCTGGCCTGAGAAATGCTGGCTGAGACCCCAAACACTGAGCACCTTCAAGAGGGACATTGTTTCTTCCTGGAATCAGTTCAGTAAGTGGATTTGGTTTTTACTATCGTAGAATCCTGTGAGAGAGGGAAAGTAGTTGTCCCTCAGTCTTCCTTGTGTGTTTGCATTAGATTTTGGTATTTCAGACTATGAAAGGCTTTTGGGGATGATATTATATGTGATAGCAGTGACTTTATTGAAGCAACTGCATTGAAATTCACTTGGGTTTTCTCTCATTCTCAGATTCTATTCCAAACAAGTGTTCTGTAAATCCAAATGGATTACCAGCATGCTATATAGGTTTTTTATAGAACGTTCTATGTTTGGTCTACTTCAAAAATAGTTTGCATAAGTTAGTCTTGGTTACCATCTAAAATATTTTTGGATGTTCTTTACATGAAAATTTATGTTGTATTTTTAAACCTTTAGGGGCTTTATCTATTTTTCTAAGTCAGTTAATTGTACTTTTAAAGAAAGTATTTTGTATCTACTTTTGTAACTTCATCAGAATAAAATATATTAAAAGAAAGAAATGACTGATTAAAGTATGTCTTAACACACATTTCTACTTAAATGTGAAACTTGAGATTTTTGCTTCTATGGAAGATTGTCTTCTGCTTATCGTTCAGTAGCTAAATTGTTGCCTTAACTCTTAGAGGAAAAGGAAGTCCCTAAATAAATATTCTGTAACACCAGGGCCCCACCCCAAGAAACAAACTAAGCCTACGATTACAGTGGCTGAAACCTGTCCCAGACAAAAAATTAGTAGTCTCCTTTCTCCTGAACTAGCCCAAGCTTGGGACCTCTTTTGCATATTCCTGGTTGTGAGATTGAGAAAAGGGAAGAGGAGGCAATGGAGTGCTGATTTTCTGAACTTGAACTGAGTGCTCAGCATATCTGTAAGACACTGCCCACTCCAGACAGTCAGTTTTTGTTATTGTAGGAGAACTGTTAGAGTTCTTTTTAGAGGTCCGAATTACGGGTGCCTAATTTTAATTCAAAACAGCACTGCTATAATTGTTTTGATTTTTTTATTAGAGTTAAAATTTGGGAGTTAATGTGGCTAAATAATATGGGTTTTTTTTTAATTAAAAAAAATTTTTTTTTCAACGTTTATTTATTTTTGGGACAGAGAGAGACAGAGCATGAATGGGGGAGGGGCAGAGAGAGAGGGAGACACAGAATCGGAAACAAGCTCCAGGCTCTGAGCCATCAGCCCAGAGCCCGACGCGGGGCTCGAACTCACGGACCGTGAGATCGTGACCTGGCTGAAGTCGGACGCTTAACCGACTGCGCCACCCAGGCGCCCCAACACTCCTATTTTGTATGAGATATGGAGAAGCTATCAATCAGTTTTGGATTTTTTTTGATAGTTACATTTCAGTAGGATTAAAATCACTCACAAAAATGGAGGAGTGTCTAATAGCTAAGTTGGAAAGCTGTTTTAAACTTTATAAATGAGTAGTAGAATAACCCAAATAATCTTTGAGAGGGCCAGAGTTGGGCTTCAAAGCTACACAGCCAAGAACAATGTCTATATCATGCCTTGGGCCTCATTGCTAAAGGGCTTGGAATGGACACTATAGCCTACACCATTATTTCTGACCACTAGATGTCAGTCTCTGCCTCAGCACGTCCCAAAAGCTAGATTCAACAGCCCTGACCAAAATAAAGGATCTTACCTAAAACCATCTTCCTTTCGTGTGTCTTCCTAATAAAAAATGTACATGGGTGACAAAAAAAGCCTCAGATTGGCAGATCTTCGGTCACATATATCTGTCCTGGCTGCAAGAGAGGCTAGGGAAGTTTCTGGATTTTACTGGGAGGTTTAGGGCTCATAGTAAAATTGATGCTGGATGTTCCGAAAGCGTGGACTGGCTCCTGCTCTGAACTTTCTGTTCCTGCTCTGTGAAAAGATAAGGGAGTTTTCACTAGAATGTAAGGGTCTGGGTACACTGTTTAGCTCAACTGACATTTTTTGTAGCGTATTTGCTACGTGAAGGAAGTACAATATTGATTCAGAATTATGGCCAAGCTCTTTATCTCGTTAGCATTTTGAGTACCACTTTTTAGGGGAACCTACCTATTTAGGGGACTCCTTCAGCAGGTTATCTTATTTAATCCTTACAGCCACCCGGGAAGGGAGTTGTAACTGAGAGGTATGCTAAGAATTTTTCACTGTTTTTCATATGGTGGCACAAATGCTCTGACTTCAAATCGCTAGTTCATAATGAGACCAGTCTGTTTCTCTGGGGTGCATCTGTAAAAATTCTATTTGCTCATGAGTGCTAGGAGGCTCTATAAAACAAAGTGACTGCAATTTAAAACCATCTCTATGAGGTAAAAAAGATGTATTCAGAGAGATCCTCCTGAAGGAGTGTTTTACAGTTAGCTCAGATGTAACTAGAAGTATGAAAGCAGGGAGTAACCATGGACCAATATAAGTAAAGATTAGAGAGTCTCCAGTTCGGGGCAAAAAAGCAAGACAGAAAGGATACACCCATTTCCTGTGACTAAAGCTGTTAAACTTTATAGTAAGAGTAAAACTGGCCTTTTATTTGCTTCTATCATAAAAAGTTATACTTGAAATGTTAAATTGGAACTAATTTGGAAGCCCAAGATTTGTGAGGTTCTGCAAATCCTTTCCTGAAATGGTTCAAGTTCACACTGTGGAGCTAGAATGGCTAAGCCACTGTCAGCTCTGTTCAGTAATCAGCATGTGGACTTTTTGTCCCATGCCATGCTGGGTGACAGGTTGACAGGACTAAAGCAAGATCCTGTCATGGAGCTCAGGGATCATTTGGAAAAACAGACACCTACATAAATTGATAGTTCTCAAGGGCCACATGTGCAATAAAAGTTATGCACAAGTTGTGAGCCCTTAAGTGTAGTGTGTGGCAATCAGAGGTGGCTTCCTGGAGAAGACAAGGCTTGAACTGGCTTCCAAGATGGGTAACGGCATAACCAAGCTTACATGTAGCATGGCTTGTACAGAAAGGTACGAGCGGCCCAGTATTACTGCAGGGTGGATTTCAGGTAGTGGTTAAGTCATCCAAAAGACCTTGGGTTTTTGCCAGTAGGCGATAGAGAGTCTGAAGGATTTGAGATAAGCAAATAATGGACAGGTTTGCACTTCAGAGGACCCTGACAGCAGGGTGGAAATGCCAAGGGGAGGATACTGGGGCAGTGACAGTCCAAAATATAATGTGAGCAATTGTGAAATTATGAGGAAGAGGAAGGTTGGAGATAAGCAAAAGTACTGACTTTCAATAAAGGAAAGAGGAATTCAAATAGAAATCAGTGAGTTGAACGTGGTCTCTTACAAGTGACAAAGCCAACTAAAATTACTTCAGCGCTCCTTTCTGGCACTGCTTGACTCCCTCCGACTCTACTGTCCCTACTTCATTTCCAAAGTGGGCACTGCCCACATGATTACAAAGATGACAGCCAGCTGTTTAACAGTTTAGCAACTCAGTGGTAAATGACCATTTCTTAGTTCCAGACAAGTCTGTACACCAACTCTCACTGGTCTGGCTCAGGTCATGTGACCAACCCAAACAAATCTGTCTGATTGGCCAAATCTGGGTCATATGGCTACTCCCAGAGCTGGGGATAGTTCGGCCTCCTTTGAACCGCAAGGTTTGAGGAGCAAAGGCTTGTTCACTACCACACCGCTGGGAAAAATAGTTTTGGTAGTTTTTATTACACTAGCAAATTATCCCTAATCCCACCCACCATGATTTTTAAGGAATCAAGCAAAAAAATGTGAGAAAGGTTATTACAGTAATCCAAAGGAGAAATTATGAGACCCAAAGCATGGAAGACACTCAATACTGAAGTACCTATCTAGGTGATCATTTGAAAGAGCAACTGTAGGTCCGTCCAACTCATCCAAGTGCCAAGCTGAACATGATTGATTGCATAGACCAGAAGGCAATAGCAAAAAGAACTAGTAAAGCCTGCAGGGTATACGAGACCACATGTTGCAAACAATTACTGCTAGAGAGAGAAAGCTCTTGGTTGAATTTTGACCTTGACATCAGTCTGAATTACTCCAGAGGTGGGGCAGGTTTGCTGGGTAACTTTACCCATCCTCACTGGAGACAGCTTCCACTACATTCTCAGGAGCCCGCGGTCTGTGGTTCCAGCCTACTTCTCTGCAGGGCCGTGTCCTGCGGGCACCTTGAAGTCAGGCAAATTCAAAACTGTGTTTGTCGGCACTCTTCACCCCAAACCTAGCCCTTCTCCACCCACTGCACTCTCCACGCCAGACGCCTCCCTCACCCCCGCTGCCTAATCCAGTCACTCCATTCCCTTCCCTTCCCAAGTGACCTTCATCTCTGCTGCCCCAGCTCCCGTTGAGACCTCAAATCTCACCTGGATCATCGCGGTAGCCTCAGAATTTCTGTCCTCGCCTCCAAAGTCCGCCCCCTACAGCCCCTCCTCTTCGCGGACCCAGAGCGATCTTTCTAAAACGCAAATCTAAAAACGACTCCCCTGCTTAAAGCCCCTCCACGCCCCCCTGTTCTGGAGGGAGAAACCCACACTCCCCAGTTTGGAAGCCAGGTTGCGGTGGGGACACAGGGAGGTGTCCCACCTAGGGCGCGAGGGGCATAGGCGTAAGGGCAGCTCAGAACCAAGGGTCGAGAACACCGGGCGTCTCCAGGCTGGGCAAGAAGGGCCCGCCGGTGGTGGAACGGGCCCGGGAGGCTGGAGCAGCACGGGGCGGACCCGGCCGGGGAGGGGCGCGAGCGCGCCGAACGGCTGGTTCCGGGGAGGTGTCCCCGGGACGCGCACGGGGCCGGACTGGGGCGGCTCGCGGCCTCCGGGCGGCAGGGGGCGGCGTCGCCCGCGGCGGCGACTCCCGGTCCGGGGCTCCGCGCCTTTCAAGGGACGCGGCGACCTCCGGCGGCGGGCCGTGTCGGCCGGGCATGGCGGCGTGGAGCCCGGCCGCGACAGCGTCTCTGCTCCGCGGGATCCGCGGGGTGAGCGCGGGCGGGGCCGGGCTGCTCTTCACGGGTGGGAGCTGCGGAGGGGCCGCAGGGCTGTCCGGGGCCGGAGCTCGAGGACGGGCTCAGGGAGATCGCGGCGCTGGGCCCTGGGGCCTCCCCCCTTCCTTTCTCTCATTCATTCCTAGTTGTTTCGGTCACACAGTGGATCCGGGCGGCCGGCTTTCGGAGAAATGTCAGACCCTGGCGCACGCTGGCGGAGCTTGAAAGCCGGTGGAGGTTGGGGGCGAGGGGAACAGACACATAAACAATGGTAATCTGGTGGGCACCGAGAGAGCGGTGTTGACGTACTGAGCCAGAGACATAGCAGTCACAGCTATGCCACAGCCGGGAGTCCTGGAGTGGGTGCCGGAGAGTGTGAGGTGTCTGGACTTTGGGCAAGTCCTCCCAGCCTCTGTGACCTTAATCCTCTCCAAAATCCTACTTGTCCGGAGTAGAAGCCCAGCAGAGGGCACTCACTACGCGCTCTATAGTTTTCTCGTTTCTGATTCTTTCCTCACTTCATCCACTTTGCTCTCCTATTCCTTCTCTCCTGCTGCCTTTGAACCCGCCTCCACCAAGTATAAAAAGCTGGTGACTTTCAGCGTGGACAGTCAGAATTCTAGGGATTTCATCAGATTGCTCGTTTAAAGGCCGCTGCCGAAAGATTAGCTAAAATGGAGGAAAGACTTATCCCAAAAAAATCAGCAATGCTAACCACCTACACCCCTTAGCGATTATTGGTTCTGCCTGCCACCTCTGCCTTTGCCCCCCAAGGCTCTGTCCTCAGAAAAGTCTCCTTCTCTCTGTTCCTTCCTCCACCCCAACCTTAGCCTGGCCTGCAACACCAAGTTTCTGTCCCTCCACTCAGTCTCACTCCAGATCTTTCTTCTGACCTGTATTTCAACTGCCTGCTAGAATTGAGACTTCTTTGCAGGTGCGAGTAGGCATGCCCTGAATGGTGTGCACATTCCACTAATCCATTTGTTCATTCATCCTCCCATCCATACCCAAGTCCTCCTGAGAGCCTGCCCTGGCCCAGGTTTGGAAGGCTGCAGTAACAGGACAGACTCAGTCTTGGCCTTTGAAATGAGCTGATGAAAACCAGTGCACAGGTCATTTTAAGGAAGGTGCTTCCAGATTCTCTAACACAGGACCCTGCTCTGGGCCATCAGGAAAGGCCTGAGGGTGGGCAGGACTGACAGGTGAAGGGATGGCACCTTCAGCACCAGCACTGGATGAACAGCACTCACGTATCCCACCTGCCATCCCCCTCCAATCCCAGGCCCTTTGTAATGCCTCTTATCTGGGCACCTTTCCAGACTAGCTTCAAAAGGCACTGTTTTGTGCAGGTTACTTTGGCCGCCATGCTGTATTTTCAGTCTCCCTTTCAGCATGTACTCAACCCAGCCAAAGGGGTGCAGACCTGGCTTTTTGCTCCTTCTCCCCTTAGGGTTGAGACATGTTCCCATCAGATGCATCAGATGCACTGGCTCCCTATGGTAGCCATCCGGGGGGTAGGGAGAGTGTTGCTGCCAATAGTAAATAATGGAAAAATGTTTTTCCTTCAGATCACTTAATAGAATTCTGCTCCTTCTTTCCAGTAAGAATTAGTATGTGTCACAAAGTGTGGTTGGCTTAGTGAGCAAGGCCACATCCCACAGGAGGGTGTGGAATGTTGACCGGGCCTATGGGATAGGTGGCGTTTGGTCTCACCAGTGCATGGTCAGTGGCATGCTGGCATAGTGAGGCACATCTGAGGCCTGCTGCCTGGCCTCTCCAGGCTCTGGATCTAATAGATCCAACCGTGGCACTCTTTCCTTAGTGCCTCAGTTTCCTCACCTCTAAAACTGAAATCATGACAGTGTCTCTCTCACAGCAGTATCATGAAGAGTTTAGTATCTATTGAGTTTGGTCTCTGGAGTCGAAGCGAGTTATTTACAATTCCACTCCCCACCTCCCTTTACTCCCCTTGAAGTTTATTCTGTGTTCTGGGGAGCTTATGCGGACATCTGACACCATGCAGCCCCTCTGATGTAGCCCGGGGCCCTGGCTGGCAGGGCAATGGTGGGTGGGGCCTGCATAGTGGCCTGGGCCGAACTGGGGGTGGCATCATCTTGCTCAGCCATGACTCCTTTGTTGTGTGGCAGCTTCCTCTTCTCCACTGCGCCCAGCGGATGTTTGCCTCGCAGACTGAGGGGGAGCTCAAAGTAACCCAAATTCTCAAAGAAAAGTTTCCTCGAGCTACAGCTATCAAGGTGACCGACATTTCAGGCAAGATTTTCTCTCATCTTTCCCACAGGGTTTGGTAGGATTTTGCCCTCTGGAGGGGTAGAGGGCAGGGGGCTTGGCAGAGTGAACTTGTCATCAGTGGCTTTTCAATATGTGTGGCTGTTGGAGAGATAGAATTCTGGCTCTCCCAGCTGAAGGGGTGGAGGTGGGGCTGTGGAAGCGTCAGAGGGAAACTGTGTGAGGGGATAAGGCCCAGCTGGGAGAACTCCTGGTTGCCAGCCTGGCCCGGCTCAGATGTGGTCCCTCTCCGTCACCCTGGGACTCCGGTCCACAGTCTTTTTTTTTTTTTTTTTTTAAAGTTTATTTTTATTTATTTTGAGAGAGATAGAGAGCAAGCAGGGGAGGGACAGAGAAAGAGAGAGGCAGAATCCCAAGCAGGCTTGGCACCATCAGGGCAGAGCCCAATGCAGGGCTTGAACTCATGAACGGTGAGATCGTGACCTGAGCCGAAATCGAGAGTCAGATGCCCAACCGACTGAGCCACCCAGGCACCCCCTCAGGTCCACAGTCTTTAATTTGACTTTGAGAAGGACATGACTTTAATTTCTCTGCATTCTTCTGACACCCTAGCATGTCAGGTCTGGAGAGGACCCCAGAAGGATTTTATCCTTTTGACAATAACTTCCTCACTTTCCCCACGAGGAGCCGAGCCTGGAAAGGCCAAAGACCCCGCCCAGCCCCTCGCAGGGAGGAGGTGGCAGAGCTGGAACCAGCACCAGGACACGGGTAGACTCTGTCCTGAGCCCAGTTACCAGCCCCAGCCAGGCCCTTTCTCAGATGCCACTGGCACCTGAGAAGTTCAGGCTGGCTGCGCGTTAGGAGGAGGCTGGGGAGGCGACTTGCGCACAAAAGGAAGATGGGGCCTTTCTCCAGACACTTGTGGAGCAGCCTAGTGGAGGTAGTAAGGTGGGCGTGGACCTGCGTCTCCCCACACCCAGACATGTCTTTGCCGCCCAGCATTGCTGTGAGGCCGCTGGCTTCTCTGAGAACGTAACATCTGCAAGGATTGGGCGAAAGTTTAGAAAATAGTTTTTATTCAGAAGTGTAGAAAAATCAATCAATCCAAAGATCCGTTGGTGAGCTCTCTGCAGTGTCCCAGGGCATCGCCGAGGCCTTGACGTCACCGGTCCTATACCTGCCCCAGGCCCAGGTCAGGCAGAGCTGGAACCTGACCTTCAGTCTGGCTCTGCCTAGCCCTGAACAGAGTGGGGAAGGCTGGGAAGCTAGGTTAACCAAAGCTTGGACTCCTAGTACACATAAAGCCCATTGAGTAAATTGCACTTCTCATAAAACGGCCGGGTGTTAACAGCACGGGACGTTTTCCTTCCTGCGCATGTTGTTTCCTGCTCGGGCAGCATGTTGCCATTAGTCCCTGTCTCTCTCATGCTTCCACTCCTTTCTTTTCTTTTGGTTAGTATTACACAGGTTTCAAGCCAAACTTTAGTGTATTTTTTGCATTTTTAAAAATATTTTTTTGCTGGTGCTTAGGAAGGTTGAACACTGAACTTCGGTCTCTCCCATCCTCTTCCCTGGGGATTATTGGCCTGTTAAAAAGAAATGCAAGGCAAACCTACACTTCCTAGGTTTTCCATGCTTTGTGCCTTATCTTTCGCACCCCACAAGTAATCATCCTGGGCAGTGCAACTGCCTTGAAAAAGGAACAGCGCGTTTTGGATCGAGGCAGCCTGCGGGGAGGGTGTGGTCAGGTTAGAAGCCATGATGTTTTCCTAACAGTCTTCGCAACTTTCTGCTGAACAATAACATTTCAGACCTTCTTTGGATTGTACGGTACTCTAAGGACATATGGGACTGTGGCTACCGTAAGTTAATAATTGAAACACTTTTGAGTCATGTTTATTTCAGGAGGCTGTGGGGCTATGTATGAAATCCAGATCGAGTCAGAAGAATTTAAGGAGAAGAGAACTGTCCAGCAGCACCAGATGGTAAATCAGGTCAGTACAAGCAACAAGGCTCCTTTGCCGTTGATCTCCAGCATCTTGAGAGGGCCTGACGAGTGGGGATGGTATTTAACTGTTAGTCCTAGGAACAAATACTACAATACAGCACTCATGCAAACAGCATTCAGGACCTGAGCAAAACATAATCTGGAACTACCTGGAATCAGACTGTGGGCAAATAGGAATTTTACTCAGAATTGAAAACAAGCCTCCTGATAGTTTCCTTGTATATTTCCTTGGATAATGCTACAGGTGTTTACTGTTATTGACACATAGTAAATGTATTTTGTAAAAATAGATGTTTTTGTAGATTTGAAGATTTTTTTAGCACTTCTTTGGACTGCTTTACAGATGGGCAAATTGAGGCATGGCATGACTGAGAATTGCTCTAGCTGCCCCAGACCCAGTGACATAATGTTAGGGGTCTGGAACATCAGATTTAACCAGACCCAGGCCCGGTTTATTCATTCTCTGTGCTTCTTTTACTTGGAATCTATACCAGCCTTGACCCTGGGCCTGTATCTGTAAACTTGCCCCCTCCCCTGCATCAGGTGTGTTTGAATCATTCTGGAAGGTCTTGTACATTGTGAGCTGGTTTAATTTCTGTACAGCACAGCTCTGGTCATAAGAATCCCTCGGTGGCTCCTTGTATATCAAGTTCTGGTGTTCCAGACTGCTATTCCAGGCCTTTCCCCACCCTTCTCTGAATGAACCCTCCCCTGGCCCCTGCCTACCGTTCTGTCTTTGCATCTGGACCTTTGCCAAGATCAGACCTCCTGCCTGGGCTCCCTTCCTCCCCTCCTGCACCCGGCTCAAATGCTGCCTCCCCTACCTGCGTGGTAGGGAGCGAATGCCCTTGCGTCCTCTGACTCCAATATTTTCTGCATTGTGTCCTGGATACTTACATCCCTGCCGTCTGTCCCTTGGCCCTGTCAGCCCTTTGTAGGCTGTTCCCTTTGGGATCCATCTTTGGGTTCCTCACGGAGCCCAGCCTTTCCCTCGGATGTGGGCATCCATGACCATATGGTGCGCTGCTGGTCTGCCTGGGAAGTCTGGGGTGGAACAACTACTTTGCTCCCCCAGAAGTGCTTCTAGTCTCACATGATGTCAGGGGTTGGAGCCAAGACAAGACAGGGAGGACCTCAGTGACCCAAATCATCTCCAACCGGTTAGACTTTGGGTTTTGTCCCCAAAACTACTCAGGCTGCCTGGTGAGCCTGCACTCCTAGGGGCACTGTTCATTTGAGTGCATCCCCCGGTCGGGAGCCACTGTTACAAGTGGTCAAGGATGCAGGTTCTGGAGTCTGTCTGCCCACATTACAAATCTGGGCTCTGCTGCCTTCTAGCTGTGTGACCTTGAGCAACTTACTCAACCTCCCTATGCCTCAGTTTTTTAATCTGTCACTGGGGAGAGTAGTAGTACCTACCTCAAAGGACTGTTTTGAAAATTAGTGGTAAAGCACACGTAGAGCACTGAGAATACCGTCTGACACCTTACTAGTAAGCCCTCGGTAAACATCAATGGCCATCACCATTATCATCATTGTTGTCTACAACATTTTCATCTGTGAGCCCAGCACAATAGCAGGTGCTGAGAAATGTGTACCCAAACTACATTTTACAAACTGTGGGGCTTTGGCCAGGTCCCTTCCCTACCAGGGACTCAGTTCCCTCAACTGTGATGTGACCCAGGTGATCTCTAAGGCCCTCTGTAGCTGGGAGATACAGTGACCTACCTAGGTCACAGGTCCTTAGAAGCCTGCAAGAGAGTTGGTGGAAGGCATTCAGAGGGGTAAGTGCACAGGACATGAGGGGTCAGGGCCTTCCATGTGAAAATGTGGCTGGGCCCTCGCCTAGCCAAGGAGGCTTTTAGAATTGTGGCCCAGGTTGCAGCCCAAATATGGTCAGGGACAGCCTTTAAGGGGTACTCTGTGCCTACAGAAAGCAGAGAGCTTGTGACCCAGGGGTCTGTGTTCCCTTCCCCCAGTGATCACAGGAAGCTTTTTCCCCTGGGGACATTTCTGTTGTCTGCAGAGCTGAGGGGGTTGTGTGTGAATACGCAGGTGGTGGGGCAGTTCATTGGCTCCCAGCACAGACGAGCTTCCAGCATCAGGGCTGGCCAGGAGCCCCAGGGAAACCAGGAGTGGCCAGGACATCGGGCTCAGGTCCTAATTCCGTTACTTGCTTGCTGAATTTTGACAGGGGATAGATTCTATTTCTTTTTTATCAGAGAAAGGGACGGGACCAGATTCTCTCTAAGGATCCTTCTGACTATAAACCTGACTGCACATGTTAAGAATTTTTTTCCTGTAAACTAGCAAAAGCAAACAAAGGAAATTAATTGGCCCATGTAATTAATTTATCTGGTTTCTGACATATCTAAATTCAGGGTCTTAAACAAGTTCGTCTGCTTGTACTCTCTCTCCTCTGAGCTTTTGGCTTCTGTGTGTTGGCCTCATTTTCTCCTATTGGAGACAGGCTTGCTTGCTTGCTTGCTTTTTTTTTTTAATGTTTATTTATTTTTGAGAGAGAGACAGAGCGCGAGCAGGGGAGGGGCAGAGAGCAAGAGGGAGACACAGAATCCAAAGCAACCTCCAGGGTCCGAGCTCTCAGCCCATGGCCCAATGCGGGGATCAAACTCATGGACCCTAAGATCATGACCTGAGCTGAAGTCGGATGCCAACTGAGCCACCCAGGTGCCCCAGGCTTTCTCTTGTTGGAGAACATGGCCCCCAGCCACCTCCAATTGACGTTGTTCAAGTAGAGTGACTCAAAAGACTGGCTCCACACGGAAAAATCCCAGCAGAGATTCTGATTGGTTCAGTTCGGGTCACGTGTTGCCCCTGGACCTATCGGGCTGGGCCAGAGGCACATAGCCACCTAAATGGAAATTGGTAGGTCTACCAGCAGTACATAAATAAGATCTCTGGTGGCTAGTGGAGAAGGGGAAGTATAGAACAATGTGTTTGAAACGCTACCATTTGTGCTATTAAAAGGCAGCTGGGTGGATATATATTCATAGTAGCCTAAACATGCATTTTTCAATCGTTGCAAAGACACACAAGAAATTAATAAGGGTTCTCTATTTGGGGATGGAGGTGGGAATGGGGGGGTGTGTGGAGGACAGGTGTGGGGGAAACTTCACTGTATGCCTTCCATAACTTGATTTTTGAGCCTCATTGGATATTCAAAAAAATTTTAAAAACCCTTCTTTTAAAAAGGTAAAAACTGTTTAGACAAAGCCTCCTATAAACACAGAGCTATACGCAACTATTCTCACAGAGACTTAATGTATTCAATGTCAAATGCAAAACAAACAGTGATGCTTTTCTACTTACTTAGGCACTAAAAGAAGAAATCAAAGGGATGCATGGATTGCGGATATTTACCTCCGTTCCCAAACACTGACCACATCCTGACTGTGTAGATGCTGCTGCTTAAAACCTTGGATGAACTTGGCTGACACCATTCTTTCCTAGGCATTTGCCAAAAAAATTATCTATTTTGTTCATAGACATTTGCATATTATAATTATAGAAGAATATGTTCTCTATTTAGAGATTAATTAAAGGCAACAGACAACTGAAACTTTTGAAGAGTCATTGGTGATGCGTCTAGTTCCTTTGTTTCAGAAGCAATGTCCTTTTATCCAAAGTGGTCTCGTCCTTGGACAGTTCTGTCCAGCTGCTACAGAGGCGGAATGGAGTGCCAGCTAATTCTCTCGTGTCAAGAAACTTTCTTATTTCTTCTCTATGAAGCTGCTCCTCTAGGACACTGCTGTTAAGGCCTCTTAATCTTACCAAAAAGGAAAGAAAAAAAGGGAAGAAAAAAAATCCTTTGGTTTTGCTATTCCTTCAGTTTAGTGCTCTCTTTCCCTTCCCCTCCAAACTTCTTACGAGAATGATCTTAGGCCTTCCCTTTCTTACTCCCTGGAGTGGGCTCTGAGGAGTCCGGGATGCCAGGATCAAGGTCTTCTTCCTGTTTGAAGATTCCCCCACCCTTTGCATCCCGGAGGGAGGTGCAGCCCATCTCCCACAACAGAAGCGGAAAAGGTTTGGCTTCCTAGCTCCCTTGCAAATGGGCACAGGTCGGTGGTCTGGACTCAGCCCATCAGATAGATCTGGACTTTGAATTGGGAGCAAGTGAGCCAAGAAGCAGGGGTAGCGGCACATCCACTCCAGCCGCTGTGGCTGCCGTATCCGGTACTCTGGGTACTGGCAGCCACAGAGCGCTACAAGCTGCCGTCTCTCGAGTCCATGGTGGCGGGCACGGTGTCTGGGTCTGCAGCGGGATATGGGCCCTGGTAACGGAGCCTTCCTGTTCCTGCCCCTGCCCCTTTTCAAAAACTCGTTCACCAGCGTTCCCAGAATTTCTGTGATTGTCCCATGTCCTTTCACTAAATTCTTCACTGTCCACATCGGCCTGGTCAGTGTCTGTCACTTGCAACCGAGAGCCCTACTGTGTTCACCTGCCCTCACAGTGTGGCTCCTGTCTTCCCACCCCCACTTCCCTCCCGGGCGGCTTTCCGAGAGACTACGTCCACTGCCTCTCCCAGTCCTCGGCACCCCGGTCACCATGGTGATAGCAAGTTGACCATCTGCTCCTTCCTCAGCCACCTTCTTTCTCTTTCAGGGAGCTGCCCACCAGGGAAACCAGTGTTCACTGTCATTTCTGAAGATCCCTCAGAAATGAAAGTATGTAGTTAAAACAACCTTGGGCCTGAGTTTTGGAGCAGCACAAGTTTTAAATATTCTGTGCATATACCATGCCCCCATTTTCTGGTTTAAAAATACTCTCTTTCTCCACAGTATGGGGGAGGGATTGGTGTCCTGCCAAAGAAGAACCACCTTTTACACGGAATACATGTACTCAGTTGTATAATGGCTGAGAAGCCAGGATGAAACAGAACTGAGGACCAGAGGCACCTCTGAAAGAGGTGTTTTTAGGTAGTGTAATAAGGAAAAGCCTAAGAATGGAGTCCCACAGGGGCGCCTGGGTGGCTCAGTCGGTGAAGCATCCGACTTCGGCTCAGGTCGTGATCTCATGGTTGATGAGTTCGAGCCCTGCATTGGGCTCTGTGCTGACAGCTCAGAGCCTGGAGCCTGCTTCAGATTCTGGGTCTCCCTCTCTCTCTGCCCCTCCCCTGCTCATGCTCTGTCTCTCTGTCTCTCTCTCAAAAATAAACATGGAAAAAGAAAAAAGAATGGAGTCCCAGAGACCAGAAGAAGATAGTGCTTCTGTCTCTCTGTCTCTCTCTCTCTCAAAAATAAATAAACATGGGGGAAAAAAAAAAAAAAAAGAATGGAGTCCCAGAGACCAGAAGAAGATAGTGCTCAGGGAGAACTGAGAGATCACAGAATTAGATACATGTTGGTTACTTGTGTGGAGCCTGATTGAGGGTGGGCTGGACAAAGGGATCAGCTTCTAAAGAACAGAATAAAGCAGAAATGACAAGGTGCAGCTTCAGGGACTAGGTCATAAGAGGCACCGCGGCTTCCTCCTTGCTCTCTCTTCAGTTGCTCACTCTGGGGGAAGGGAGCCGCCATGTTGTGACAACACTCAAGCAGCCTGCGGGGAGGTCCACGTGAGGAACCGAGGCCTCTCACCAACAGCCAATGAAGCGGGCCTGCCAATAGCCAGCAGGGAACCAAACCTGCCAAAACAAGAGCCATTTGGGTAAGCCATCTTGGAAGTGGGTCCTTCCAAGTCACAGTCACAGTTAAGCCTTCAGACAACTGTCGCCCCAGCTGACATCTTGACTGCAGCTTGAGCCGGAACCACTCAGCTAAGCTACTCCCAATCCTTGACCAGCAGAAACTATGAGATAATAAATGTTGTCTGAAGTCACTGGGTTTTGGGGTAAGCTACAGGGCGATAGCTAACTGGTATGCTTTTGCACTGCTGGCTGGACACTGGGGCATTTCACATATTGAAGGAGAGGTTGAAGAGCCAGACTGCAGAAAGGATGGGGTCCAGCTAAATGTCAGGAACATACCACACCCCTGGGTCTCCACATCACCTGTTTGCTTCTCCCTGCAGATCAGCTTTATTACAGACACATATTTTATTTACTTTTTTTCTTTGAAAAAATTTTGAACTCACCGTGAGATCATGACCTGAGTTGAAGTCAGACATTTAACTGACTGAGCCAGCCAACCGCCCTTGTTTTATTTATTTTTAAGAGAGAGTGTGTGCACGAGTTGGGGAGGAGCAGAGAGAGAGGAAGAGAGTATCTGAGGCAGGTTCTGTGCTGACAGCAGAGAGCCCGATGAGGGACTTGAACTCACGAACCGTGAGATCATGACCTGAGCCAAAGTCGGATGCTTAACCGGCTGAGCCACTCAGGCGCCCCTAGATATGTTTATTGTCGATTGGTGTTCACCATATACTGCCAGTATATGACTCACTGCACTGCCTATACATAGCTCTTAATTTTTATACTTCACGTCCTAGCCGCAAGAAAGGCAGACTTTCCTTCCAAGTTCCCATTCAAAGAACGCCAGGGAATGCCTCTGATGGGCCCATCTTGAATCAGGAGCCACCCAGGAGTCATGTGACATGGCAGCCTCTCCCTGGACTCTGGTTTGGAGTGGGGAGAGGAGCAATCGCCGAAATAAGCGGGGTTCTGTTCTCCCAAGAAGAGGCTGAGGACAAACAACAGACATTCTTGACCAGAGGGAACGGTGATGTGGCCTAACAGGCCTGCTAGGAGGCTGGGGATACCAAGGAAACTTGGACTCTTCCCTGGCTTCACCCCAGGCAACTCTTCAGGCCCAGAGAAATGTGTCAGCCCTGCCTACCACTTCCACATGTCTGCTCCCAAACCTGGCAACAAGAACTTTTTTCAAGTAGCTCCCCTACCCTCCCTGTGGTTGTTCTTTCTCCAAAACTAAAAAGGAAGTTGGGAGGGGCGCCTGGGTGGCTTTAGTCAGCTAAGCTTCCCACTCTTGATTTCCGCTCGCGTCGTGATCTTACAGTTCATGAGTTTGAGCCTTGAGTCGGGCTCTGAGCTGAGTGTGGAGCCTACTTGGGATTCTCTCTCTCTCTCTCTCTGCCCCTCCCCTGCTCTCTCTCTCTCTCTTAAATAAATAAGCTTAAGAAAAAAGAAAAAAGGAAAGTTGGGAGAGGAATCTTTTTAGTCTCTTTTTAGCTGATTACACAAGGAGAAATTGTTTAATCTGAGTGAGTGGCCAGAGTACGACATTGCATCTGATACAGCCAACTCCTCGCTTTTTGATTAAGTGCTACTTATGGAAATTGCTGAATTGAGATAGTACATTTTCTGAGTCAAGTGTCCTTTTAAAAATAGTGTACATGGGTGCCTGGGTGGCTATGTCAGTTAAACGACCCACTCTTGATCTCAGCTCAGGTCTTGATCTCAGGGTCTGAGTTCAAGCCTCCTGTTGGGCCCCATCCTGGGTGTGGAGCCTACTTAAAAACAAACAAAAAACAAACAAACAAACAAACAAACAACCCACACCATGTGCAGTTTTCCAGTGGAAAAATCCAAAGCATCCTGAGATAGGTGTTTGCTGACCACGTAAATCAATCTAAGAGACATTGTCCCTCCCCCAGCCCTCCCCCAGGCCCATTCAGTCCCAAAGGCTCGAGTAGTGCCCCTCTCTCCCCCTATTACACTACCCAACTAGTAGTCTTGGGGTCGAGCTGGCCTGCAGCCTGGGAGGGGACCTGGGGCCACGAAGCCCCACCCATACTCTTGATGGTGGCAAAGAGCGAAGGAATCCCAATTCTCTTTCTTGGGAATCCAAATCGGAAAGGGTGAGTAAATACCAAAGAAAAGCTCATGGCTGGTGGAAAGCTCTGGACAAACAAATCTGGGCACTCAAATCAGGATATATGGAGAGAATCAATCTAGGAGAAACGGAAGTTGGAAACATGGCCTGGGAGATGCCACGCGGGGCATTGGCAAATCTGAGTGAAGAGGAAGCCTCCACTAGGGAATAAAGAAAACGGTGATTCTCAATCCTGCTGCGAATGAGAACCGCCTGTTTAAAAATACTCACACCTGGAGCGCTCTCAGGTCCATGAGGCAGAGACCAGGCAGTTAAATACAGAAGTGAACCGCCAGGCCCTCCTTAGAGCCGCGTGAATCAGGACCAGCCCCTTAACTCTGCCCCCAAACCTGGGTGAGGCCTGCCCTGCCCTCTCCTTGCAGGTTGCTGCTGCGCCTGCGGCAGTTTGCCAGCTCACCTCCAGCCGCTACCCGGCTGAGGTGGGTGGCTGCCCCGCCCCCTAATTCCAAGGGGTGAACAGTGGGAGAGCACCCATGCTTCCCCCCACACCGCCGGGCTCCCACCTGCCCCAGGCGGAATCCGGTCTTCGGATCAGAGGAAAAAGGAGCCAGGCCTCTGCCACCGGGGACCACCGCGCTCCACGATGCTACCCTGAGCTTCCTCCCGCCCAAAAGGTAAGCCGCCCCCCCCCCACCCCGCACGTGCCATGTGGGAATCAGAAACCTTTGGCTTGAGTCAGCAAAGTTGGTTTCTTACTTGCAACGCAAAGTAAGAGCCTTAAGCCACACCATCCATATCTTACAATTCTCCCCGTGCGGAATGAGCCCGACTTTTGACAT